CCTGTCCATCCAATTCCATGCCCACCTGTCCATCTGTCAGCCTGTCCATCCGATTCCATGCCCACCTGTCCATCTGTCCATCCCCTAGATGAACAGGATGTCATCCAGTCATGATAGCTGGATACCTGGACGGGGATCTACACAGATGGACAGCTGTCGTGATGTGAACACTTGTGTGGTGGGGACAGGTGGACTCATTAAGATGCTGTCAAGTATCGTCAGGCCCTCGCCCTCCAATCAAGATGCTAGACCCTTATCTTCAACAGAAGGAAAAATGTGGGAAGGTAACAGTGAAATAATCCTCTGTTCATGCATATACAGCAGAGTGAGAGAGGGAAAATCCATTGCATATGGGATATAAATAGTCAAACAGAGCTGCTCGGTAAACCGTAGGCAGAGAGGGAGAAGAGGACAACAAACGAGGGGCTGTGTATCGTAAAACAGAACTGCCTGGTAAACCGTACACAGAGAGGGAGAAGAGGCCAACAGACGAGGGGCTGTGACAGACGGTGTCCGCGGAGTTGCACCAACTCATCAGGAAGTCGGCTTTTTAAACATTTTTTCCCTTTTTTTTGGGGGGGGGGAGGGCAGGGACCTTCCCTGGCCCTGACCCGCCCAGCCCCGTTGGTAGCCCAGTTATAGTCATTATATATAGCTATATATTGTCACACAGCTGCAAATTAATTAAGATATGACTACAGAATGGCGGGTGCTGAAAATGACTTAACTCACCGGAAACATGTAGGAGAAAAGGCGTGCTAATGCCTCAGCGAAAAAGACTGCAGAAAACAGCATTGCTGCGAAGGGCAGCACATCTTCCACCTCCCTCTCATCGATACCCCCTCCCACGGAAAACACCGCTTTATCATGAAGCGGAATCCCGCCTGCCATCTTCAGAAACAATCTTCAGAAAGACGAAAGAGGAGTGACAGGAAAAGTCGCCTCCGTCTGGAATCTGCTTCTCTGAAAACTCTTTACGCTTCGTAATCTGTGTGTCAAGAACGTCAAAGCATTAAAATTAAAACAAAAGAAACAAAAAAAAAAGTTAAAAAACTATATAAACAACATTTCAAATTTCCAATAATTTCCCCCCTGTATGCTAAGGCCCAAATGTACTTACTGGACAGGAATTGAATACCAACCGGAGGAAAAAAAAAAAAAAGAATTCAACTGCTGCTCAACATGCAAAATAGTTACTTGTACCAAGCAAGCCAACACGGCGCCACGGCTGGGGAAAGAGTTGTGAAGAAAAAACGTGGACAAAAAAAGTACTGGTGGCAGGGGAGACAGGGCATGCAGTCATCAAGCGAGTTTCGGATCTTCTTCTTGTGACAGAGATAATGAACATGACATATGAACGAACACCTGCTGCATATTCTCTCTCTCTCTCTCTCTCTCTCTCTCTCTCTCTCTCTCTCTCTCTCTCTCTCTCTCTCTCTCTCTCTCTCTCT